TTCAACACTGTCGATTGATGTTTGCTTGGAAATTTTGACCGAAGCTGGCTCGAACAACTCCTTGTACAGCTGTGCTCATATCGTATTCTTACGATTAGCAACGAAATAGTTGATCGGATTGAATTGATCACGCGAAGCATTGCTGACATCGGCTTACAGCGTGACATACGCTAAATCATGTGGGCAACAAATAGCAATGTTTAGGCTCCATATGTGCATCTGCCACCACATTCGCCCATTCTAGCGAGTGAATTGAATAAAATCGAAAAGAATTGAGTATTAGTGAGATTGACGGATTGAGTACAACATGCAAATTTGGTTATTTCAGCAGCAAAGGAAACAACAGCAGATTAATGCTGATCGCATGAAATCTAATCGAATCTCTCTCGTGTATAGCTATTGATTACGAAGATGATGAATGAACATTCTGTTTGTTCAACTGCTCAAAACTAGCACTGCTTCAAATCGCGGATTTGTTTTCAGGAAGGAAGTATTAGGCGAGCGTTGACGGGCTCACTTAATGTTCCTATTTAAAGCTTTTCATCCACAGTTTAACTTCATTTCTCACTCTAATCAGTTTCCATTGAATTTTTCTGCGCCAGCTTCGACAGACTCGCGTTTTCAATATACGGTAAATAATTGAATTGTTCTTCGTGTGCTAAGCGTTTGGTATAAATGTTGTACGTTACACGTCAACAAGTCATTACCTCCAAGAGCAGTACTAAAATGAAATACGCTCTCCTTATTTTACGGTTGATTCTGCATGATCTAATTGGTGCATCATTACTCAAGAGCTAATTCATTTGCCTCTTCCACCTCATAAACGCCATCAACATTAACGTCATCTATTCCGATTATATGTTTGTTTTAATATTTGAGTTACATCAGTTTCGAGCCGGATGCGAGTTGTAGACGAATGCAAATAAAATTCATTCTATTGACGATGCGATAATGACAAGAACCATCAAATTGTTCTGGCTGGAGACAATGAACGGATTTCAATAACGATCAATAGTTATTCAACATGTTTGTAAGGAAACTTTTAGAGAAATATAAGAGCTTGCTTATGGTATTCATTACGTGAAATTTGGAATAGATCACCGCAGACCGATTGATATGTGTATGTCTGTTCGAAATGAAGAAATTAGTGGGATCGAAGTAACTTGTGATGTTCACGACATACATATTTGCTCGTATTGTTTCGCTTTCATGTTCAGGAGGAAGTATACTTCGGTGGAATTTTATCAGGATTAAGTTTTCAGAATACACTATGAACGGTGCAACAGCACATTTGGCATTCTTTGGTATTGCATTTATGACTATTTTCACACTATCATTTGGGCAAACCGAAGCAAGAAGTATGAAAATTTTTGGAAATTTTACGAAAGCATTTATCTTTCGCTCGTTTCATTTATTTTCACCAAAAACCTTGAATCTTACACTTTCTTAGACGTATGTGCTGATTTTATTTTCAAATGAAACGTTTGTATCATTTGATCATCTGCATCCTGACAGGACATCTACGAATGAGATCCACATGCGTGTTTTTGATGGAAACACTTCTGTGTTTCTACATTGGTCATGAAAACGAATAAGTTACCGCAATATTAACTTGAGCTGCACGGAAGGAACGATGCTTAAAAATGAAGAATGCGATATTTGCGTTATTGGCCGCATTAGAGAGGCTTACATTCGTAACAAGTTCTCAAATTTTTGAATTTGCTCTCAAAAAAATAATAAAAGATGACCCCAACCGTTATCACTACCGCGAACAGTCACACGATTTTCGATTTCGGTTCAGCGAACGTTTCAGGATTAACGACTATGAATTCTTGCGCATTTGTATCAGAATGCACCAAAAACAACATGCATGCAGCAAAATGCCTTTTTCGTTGTTCATAATTTATAGTAAACATGAGAAGAAAGGAAAACAAATTCTCGTTGGCTCCTCTTTTGAAAGCGCCGATCTCCATGCTGATAGTGAGTAAAAAGTCACAATTCATAGCCAATTTAAATGTTATGCCAACACTACTATTGTATATTTCAGTGTTTGCAGTTGCTGATCAGCCATACGACATCGCTAAGCGTGATGCAGAAAGTTAGTTTGTTTCCACGTATGCCTGTAAATCATTTGGTACTGATTTCGCTTCTAGCGGACAGTAATGTACATGCATCATCCATAATTTTATTACGCGCGTTGGTTCGTAATTATGCGTAAAATTGCACTATCTCATATTATACACGTTGTAAATTGCGGTTTTTCGCATGGATTCAAAATGAGTTTAGCTGCAAACGCGAGAAAGTTAACATTCACCAGTCAGTACGTTTTAAGCAAAGACTTTGAACTGAATTATTGACTGTAACGTGGTGAGATGTATCCATCCCAACTATCTGGGAGATGCCGCAGTATAAACTATAATAGTATGCAGTAATGAGAATGAATCGTTGGGCTTTAAGGAGTCAAAAAGTGGCATGAAACTAAAAGTAGTATAAAATAAAAGAATCCTTAAGTAGTATAAACTAAAAGAATCCTTAAACGCTCCAAAAAGTGGCGTAAAAGAATGCTTTTATGATATCATTAGTGGGAAAGATACCTGAGAAAAATATTTCAAACCTACTGTTTTCCCATCCTTTCTAGTATGACCGTTTCTCACGGCTTTCCACTGGAGGTAAACGTATGATAACGGTTGTATNTTCAAACTTGCTTCTCTGACACCATATAATTGCCGTTCCATATGGAAATATATCTCTCTGAATGACACATAATAATTTAGTAGATAAATATTTGCAGACATATGAAAGAGAAATCTTTTGCAGGTGCCCTCTCCTTTACACCAAAAAAATTAGGACGTTTTGCAAGGCACACTTTGGGACCACAAGGTGGAATCTCGTTTGAGTTTGCGAAACGCACACCTCTCGGAAGAACAGGATGTATGTTTCAAAAGGCTTATTCTATATTGTTTCTCCAACAACTACTGCTCCAGGCCAATTGTAAAACTGAAGCGCAAAGGTGTAGAATGCGTCTGATTGCCCAATGCCCAAAGATGTGCGAATTACATTCGCCTCACCAGTTTCAATCAGGCTGAGACTTAATTTTAGGCTCTCATGGAACTGTAGTTTTGCCATTTTGCTCTAAATTCAATGCATTGCCTTATAGTACCTTAATCTTATTCATTTGTATGCATGCTTTTTTTTCATGGATGTCACAAAGCAATGATTTTTCAGTGCCATTCGCTTTTGACGAGCCATCGATTGATGAGGAACGTTTCGCGAGATTCGCTCGGGCAGCATTTGCATTCGCAAAACGTTCACAATTTGCGTTCGCCTAGGTGCTCAGCACTTCTGCATGACTGATCTCATCGAATATCATTCACTGATATGCATTGTTTGTGTACCCAACTGTGTAATGAAATCATTTATATTTGAATGAAAGCAAAAAATGCAAAGATATTCTCTTTTGATGTTTGCACTTTATCCGAATAAGTTGCAGTTGTATTCTTATGGTGATGATTAACACTTACTGATTATCAAATGGAAAGCCTACGTTGCATTTGTTTAGTATCAATGATGCATGGTGTAATATGCTTGTTCCACTTGTCCGGATCAATAATGACGGTGAAAAATAGCGCTGATCAGATTGGATGGAAATTTGTCGTGACCGTACGCAGTTGATTAACGAATGAACTTCTTGTTTGAAAGGTTGTACGGATTTGCAAGACACTTGAACTGAATAACTACCTAAACTTGCTTCGGTGAGTTGACTGGAGGGAGGTACAGATGAAACTGATCTGTGTAAAGTTTACGTAAAAGTGAACTTGCTTTCATTGCATCAAGAAGATTGTGGTTTCATCATCAATGTCTTGCATCGCACTAGCAATTCATTCACATTCGAAATGATTACGACTCAAACTGCGGATCAACTCAAACTGGGATTTGTTGCAACGATCTTTATCAAATCAATCCATTCGTTTTTACAATTGACTAAGCACAATGAATAAACAAGTTGATTAAATCGTGCATTGCTCATTGCATTTATGCTGATCAACATCTTCAAAATACAACGAATGCGTTGCTCCATTCAAGAAATCTATTCTGAGCCTGTCGGTGACAACATCAATGCTTCCATGCGATTTCCGAGAAGTATAGTTGAGTGTTTTCCTTCTCAGTGATTTTTTCACCATATATTTATGATCTTTTAAGGGTTTAAACAAGTGTCATAAAAGTAGAGATTCCTTCTGAGGTATGATTTCCATCAGAAAAAGACTGATCATGCAACTCGCAATGCCGGAAAAGCAGCTAAAATTTCACCCATCGTTAATATAATATTAAAAAAACGTTTTCTTTAGCTGAATAGAATGGCTACATGAGTCTGCTATGGAGAACATTTTCACTTGATGGTATGATACGTATGATGGTATCATCATCGAAGCAATTCGATGAATGGGCTGAGCAAAAATCGTTGCTTTGTATTAGTCAAACTCATGCCCTATTGCCAGTATATCATACAAAAGTAATTTCTGAATGAAATGCTCTCGCATTTGTGATGTCATACATGAAAACTTCAAATGCATTATCAATGAATGATCACAGCCTCGTTGAAGCGATTATCAATTACAGCTTAATAGTATTGAAGTACACTGCAACCAATACCAACTCAGATACACTCGATAACATGTCAATGACAATTGCTTTTTGATGTCCTCTGAAAATCGCATCCTTTCGGATCGCTTCAATGCATCATGAATGTTTACGTTCAGTGATCATTGCGAGTTTATGTTCTACTAATGATAATACTGCTGTCACTATGCTCATTTGTGAGTGCCTTTTGATTACTTTATATT